TTCTTCATCGTACGATCTCTATCCAGATATAAAAAGCATTACAGAATGATCTAATTTTGTCATTAAATACGTTTTTTATATAGTTGTCGGTTAACGGAATTCTTAGCGATTACATATCGACAAAGATCGATCAATTTATCCCATCATCATATGGTATTTGGTTAAATATAAGAGCGATTACAAAACGATCTTTCCTCCTTAATTAAATGATTCTTTAAAGAGTTATTATTGATTCTATATTCTTGATCAGTCACATTTAAGAAAGATCAAACAATTTGCCATCATACAACGAACTTAGATCGAGAAAGATCAATAGATTTACTCTCATCTAATGATCGTCAGTTAAATATAAGAGCACAATCGATCACAAGTCGAATATAAGAGCGATTACAAAACGATCTTTCCTCCTTAATTAAATAATTCTTTAAAGAGTTATTATTGATTCTATATTCTTGATCAGTCACATATAAGAAAGATCAAACAATTTGCCATCATACAACGAACTTAGATCGAGAAAGATCAATAGAATTACTCTCATCTAATGATCGTCAGTTAAATATAAGAGCACAATCGACCACAAGTCGATAGTTGAATATAAGAGCGATTACAAAACGATCTTTCCTCCTTAATTAAATGATTCTTTAAAGAGTTATTATTGATTCTAAATTCTTGATCAGTCACATATAAGAAAGATCAAACAATTTGCCATCATACAACGAACTTAGATCGAGAAAGATCAATATAATTACTCTCATCTAATGATCTTCAGTTAAATATAAGAGCACAATCGATCACAAGTCGGTAGTTGAATATAAGAGCGATTACAAAACGATCTTTCCTCCTTAATTAAATGATTCTTTAAAGAGTTATTATTGATTCTAAATTCTTGATCAGTCACATATAAGAAAGATCAAACAATTTGCCATCATACAACGAACTTAGATCGAGAAAGATCAATATAATTACTCTCATCTAATGATCTTCAGTTAAATATAAGAGCACAATCGATTACAAGTCGATCTTGTTTCTCCTCTAAACGATTACAATGTTATTAACTATAATATTTGTGATCTTAAACAGTTAAGAAAGATTAAACTATTTTCCAATTCAACGATCTTTAGTAGAATGATAAAAAATTCGTTCCACCTTTTTCAATGACAAAGTTGTTAACGATTCAGTATGCTTAATCAGTCGCACAACTATAAGTTAGATCAAACTATTTGCCTACGATCTTCCAGCTACAATTTCGATCTTAGACCGATCTTCTTATTTTCTATTTAACACGCTTTTATTTAGTTATATAAATGATGGAAAGATCAATCTCCATTTGCCAATATCAGACAATCTTTAGTCTAATAAAAAAGTGGTTACAATCGATCTAACTTTCATAATTTTAAATTTCTTTCTTAATCATTGACATTTAAAGATTGAAACAAACTTTATAGTTCTCAAGTTGTTCATTTGTTCTTCGAAAGCATGAGTGACCATACATCATCATTGTATGAACTTTAGTTAGATATAAGAATGCTAAAACTTTCGATCTTCCTTTTTCCACAAAACGATCCTTTACAAAATTCTTTTATAAATGATCAAAGATCGAGCAAGATCAAACTATTTATCATTAACCAATCCAATCGTTAGTCAATCTTTAAACCAAGATAGCTATTTAGCAGATTTGAGAGAGCTCTTTGCTAATCACTCTCTTTTGCTCTTTTTGCTTAAAACTCTAACTTTAGATAGTTATTAAAACGATCTTACTTTCCACAAATAAACGATCATTTGTTGCTTATCACTCTGTTTTGCTCTTTTTGCTTAAAACTCTAACTTTAGATAGTTATTAAAACGATCTTACTTTCCACAATAAGCGATCATTTGTTCTTCGAAAGCATGAGTGACCATACATCATCATTGTATGAACTTTAGTTAGATATAAGAATGCTAAAAATTTCGATCTTCCTTTTTCCACAAAACGATCCTTTACAAAATTCTTTTATAAATGATCAAAGATCGAGCAATAGCAAACTATTTATCATTAACCAATCCAATCTTTAGTCAATCTTTAAACCAATATAGCTATTTACGGATTTGAGAGAGCTCTTTGCTAATCACTCTCTTTTGCTCTTTTTGCTTAACTCTGCTCTAAAATTTGAGAGAAATTTGCTGGATTTTATGTTTTAATTTTTATTTTCTTAACTCTTTGATTCTAAGTCTCACCAAAATAAAACTTTCGAGCTTAAAACTTAAGTAATTAATTAAAAAATTTAATTATTTTTTTAAACAAAATTATGATTTCAAAATTGTAATTAAAAAAATTATATAAAAAAAGTATTGTATAATAAAACAAAACTACTCCATTTTAAACACACAAAACAATTAAAATATAGAACAAAAGTTAAAAAAAGGAAAATACAATTAAAAAACTCTTTTGGTAAAAAAATTAACTAAAAAATTTTAAATTTAATTTAAAGTTAATATATTTCTCCAAAGAGTTTTTTAGCATAATAACACACACTCAAACTACAAATTATATATTACAAAAAAAAAAAAAAAAAACAAGTAAAACCGAAAACAAAACCCAAATTCTTATCACTGATCATTAAAGAATACATGTGTAAAAAAGTCAACAACCAAATTTATTGAAATACGAGTATATGATTAATATTCATTATTCTATAAAAAAAAACAAAAAAAAAATATAACAAAATAATATTTAATAATAAATAATATAAAAAACGAAACAAGAAATTCAAAAATGAAATGATAAGAATAAATTTAAGATAAAAACAAAAATTTATGCATATAAAGAAATGATAATTGAGAAAAAAAAACGAAAAACTGGTTTTTATTTATTCTAGATCAAATACAACTCTGACGTAAGAGTTTTGTATTAGGGATAATAAAAATTTTGAATTAAAATTAACTTAACGATCATTTCCCTTCTTCAAACATTACTTTACAAAGTTATTAACTAATCTTTAGTTTGCGATCGCAGATCATTGAACTTCTTTTCACTGTTAAACTATTATTTTTTGCTCTGACATAAAACGATCGTACCATATTAGATGAATCACAGAGGAATGGTTTTTGAAATAATATTCAATAAGAATGATCACCGATCGACAAAGAGCCAAAATAGTCTTTACTCAATGATCTAAGATTAAGATCGAATTTTGGTAAGATATACAAGTGATCATATATATATATATGATATGATCACATATATAATATGTATGATCATACAGTTAGATATAGAGCCAACGATCGTAATCTTCTTTTTGTCACAGATCGAAAAGTAGAAATCATAAGAGAGATCGGCTGACATTTCGATAATATGCTAACATTTCTAAGTGATCTTTAGTTAGATAAATATAAGGTTGATCTTATATAGTGATCACAGGTCGATCTTTGTTTCTACATTTAACATTAGTCCCATATATATACATATCACATTTATTGTCCATTTACATTATCACTTTTTTCCACTAAACATTGATCATAAGTAAAATTTATAAGTGATCATATATGGATTTTGTTTTCTCTATTGATCGATCAAGATGCCCAAGTTTTCTATAGAAAAATTTGTAATCGATAGATCAATCAATCGTTACAAGTTATCAAATAAAAATCTTGCGATTCATTGATCGTTACAAGTTTTATTTAAAGTGATCATAGATTGATTTTGTTTTCTCATTAATCGATCAAGATGCCCAAGTTTTCTATAGAAAATCTTGTGATCGATAGATCAACCGTTACAAGTTATCTGTTTAAGAGTTTGCAATCCATTGATCGTTAGAAAATCTTGCCATCGATCGTTACAAGTTTTTTATAGAAAATCTTGGCAATGATCGATCGTTACAAGTTTTCTATAGGAAATCTTACAAACGATCGATCGTTTCATGTTGATTTTGCTTCCATAATTGATATCTTGATCGCTCAAGTTTCCTACAGAATATCTTGCGATCGTTCCATCATTAAAAGTTTTCTATAGAAAATCTTGCATACAATCGATTGCTACAAGTTTTCTATAGAAAATATTGCGATCGATCGATCGTTATAATTTTTCTATAAAAAATCTACGATCGTTCAAATTTTCTATAAAAAATCTTGCAATCGTTCAAGTTTTCTATAAAAAATCTTGCGATCGTTCAAATTTTCTATACAAAACTTACGATCGTTCAAGTTTTCTATAGAAAATCTTGTGATCGTTCAAATTTTCTATAAAAAATCTTGCGATCGTTCAAATTTTCTATACAAAACTTACGATCGTTCAAGTTTTCTATACAAAACGTACGATCGTTCAAGTTTTCTATAGAAAATCTTGCGATCGTTCAAGTTTTCTATAGAAAATCTTGCGATCGTTCAAGTTTTCTTTAGAAAATCTTGCGATCGTACAAGTTTTCTATAGAAAATCTTGCGATCGTTCAAGTTTTCTATAGAAAATCTTACGATCGTTTAAGTTTTCTTTAGAAAATCTTACGATCGTTCAAGTTTTCTATAGAAAACTTACGATCGTTCAAATTTTCTATAGAAAATCTTACGATCGTTCAAGTTTTCTATAGAAAACTTACGATCGTTCAAATTTTCTATAGAAAATCTTACGATCGTTCAAGTTTACTTTAGAAAATCTTGCGATCGTACAAGTTTTCTATAGAAAATCTTGCGATCGTTTAAGTTTTCTATAGAAAATCTTACGATCGTTTTTCGGATTTAATGTAATATACATCCTCCTATCAACCTAACCTACGATCGTTTAAGTTTTCTATAGAAGATCTTACGATCGTTCAAGTTTTCTATAGAAAACTTACGATCGTTCAAGTTTTCTATAGAAAATCTTGCTATCGCTTAAGTTTTCTAAAGAAATTCTTGTGATCGAGCGGTACAAGTTTTCTTTCGAAAATTTTGCGATCGTTTGAAGTTTTCTATATAAACTTTTTTGTAGAAAATCTTGATGAGTGATCATAGCTAATAATTTGTATTAAAGGAAAAATCTTTAATTAAGGTTTTTGGTTTAAATTTTTATTTTTTATTAAAAAAAAAAATACATATTTACAACAATTTATAAACAAATATATTTAACACGATCGCTTTAAAAGCCCACCTCCAAAAATCTAGTTCTTCTTTTCTTTTCTATCCTTCAAACGAGCATAACACTCTGGGATATTACGATAGAAGTCACACAATTTTGTATCGGGATTGAAAGCCAAATAACGACCACAATTATACAAACGAGGATGACCATTAACACACACGAAGTACTTCTTACAGCTGTTGGGATGACGGAAATATTGCAATTCACCTTCGGGTGTAACATCAACATTCACTTGAACACCATCGACCTCCTCGGGTGGAGGGCAAGTGAAACCCAAGAAAGCTTCAGCATTACAATCCTTAACTAGATCGGGCCAATCGCACTGATAGCTGTCGACATTGAAAGCTAAACCTTCGGGACATTTGGTGAGTGTGGAGACGCCATGAGCACAGTTACGATATTCACCACATTTGGCAGGATCTTCGGTGGGATAGAAACCGAATTGACGAGGGCATTCTTCGGTGGCATTGGCAGGTTGAAGGCGAGCTCTCTCTTTGCAGGAGGCAAAGGGAGCATAAGTACAATCACCAGCAGTTTTGGAACGTTGTTGGAAGACCAAACCATCGGGACAGAGTTTTTCTTCGGCTACTCCATCTTGACACTGGATATAGGCATCACATTGTTCCTCGGTGGCAAAACGACCATTAGGTTCGGGACAGGTGAAGGCTAAAGCTATAGATAAATGAAATGAAAGTTGAAAATTTATAAATTAGTGAGATGAAAAGGATTTTTAAAAGTTCTAAGAAAACAAAAGACAAGACAAGACCGACTGAAGGTCACCACCCTTGATTCCAAAGACTTTTTAGATTATTACGCTTAATTTTCGTTTGAGCCAATTTCTTTTTTATTTACAAAATAAAAACAGTTTCATTATACATTTTCACTAAGGACTAGAAAAATATCAAATATATATAAAAAAAATATCAACAAAAATTTATATTTTAATGTCCCGTTTCACTTAAAGACGCTTCTTTTGTCCAGCTCTAGCTGCGGCCGCAGCCAAACGGGCATTTTTGATTTCGACACCACGTTGCTTGATCTCTGGACTACAGTTGCTAACATTCTCAATATTGTCACATTGTTTCAATTCTTCATTAAAAGCCTGATCTTCACCGCAAGAAATACGTCTGGGACGTCCTTCAATGCACAGATAGTATTGTTGGCAATTATTGGGATTGGGATAGAACAAGTATTCCTCCTCAGGTTCACCTAACAAAGAAGATCTGGCTGGCAAATCGGGACACTTGAAACCCAAGAAAGATTCAGCATCACAATCTTCAACTTGATCGGGCCAATCACATCTATAGGTGGCAGGATTCCAAGCCAAACCATCGGGACAATCGAAGATATAACCGCGACCAGAGGCACAATTCTTGAATTGACCACAGTTCTTAGAATCACCCATGCGATAGTAACCGAATTGATGGGGGCACTCGTCGGTAGGTTGGGCAGCCTGGAGACGGGCTTGACCCTGAGAACACTCTACATCGATGGGATAACCACAGGGATAACCAGTTGACTTTTCGTTAAACAATAAACCATCGGGACAAACTTGTTCGGTAGCCACACCATTACGACATTCAATATAAGCATCACATGATCCCGAAACTGGATAAGTGCCGTTAGCTTGAGGACAGGGACCAGCTGCGAAGGCTGTAAGTAAAATCAACAGAAAAGAGAAATAAAAAGGAAAAATTAATAAATTTCATAATTGTTAAGCTTACCTACAGAAATATTTTGAAGTTTTTGCAAAAATTTTAGAAAAGCACTTTAAAAGAAGAAGATAACAGAAAACGTGTTAGGGTTTAGGCCCTTTAAAAGTAAAGTTTATATAGAATACTTGTTGGTTTTAATTAAATTTCAATTTTAAGGTAAAAATCACTTCAAATTTATGTAGAGATTAAGTTATATTTGATCATGATGACAACGGATATTCCCCCCATTTAGAATTAAATAAATATTAGGCGGCACTTACAGTCGAACATCTTTTATCTTTAGGCGTATTGGTGGTCTATTTACAAACATTGGACGTTACCGGTCGAATACCACAGACAAAATTTGTCGCGAACTTTGAAGCCTTGCGGAACATTAGAGTAAATACCTGTTGTTACACAGAAAAACAATAGGGGATATACATTAAGAATCCAGAAATCTATATTTAGACTACCGAAAAACTCATAATACTATCCTCCAGGAAGAAGTCCGTGCAAAAAAGGCATGTATAAAATGGATTGGAATAAGTATGACGCGAACTGAAGTGATATGAGTGATGTGAGAATCCAAGTACTCTTACCGAAGTAAGTTTCGCATAATATGAGTGCCAGCTTACTCGGGAATAATCGGCAACGAAGAGCAAATATATTTGCTATAAAGTTAGGGGAATTCCGAGAAGTGAAAATGACGATTTCAAACCTGATCGATATAACATTGACTAAGAACTGAGCTAGAACTGAATTAGAACTGCACTAGAACTGAACTAGAACTGAACTAGAACTGAACTAGAACTGAACTAGAACTGGACTAGAACTGAACTGAACTAGAACTGAACTAGAACTGTACTAGAACTGAACTAGAACTGAACTAGAACTGAACTAGAACTGAACTAAAACTGAACTAGAACCGAACTAAAACGGAACTAGATCTTGACTAGAATTGAAGTAGAACTGAACTAGAACAGAACTAGAACATAACTAGAACATAACTAGAACTGAACTAGAACGGAACTAGATCTTGACTAGAACTGAACTAGAGCTGAACTAGAACTGAACTAGAACTGAACTAGAACTGAACTAGAACTGAACTAGAACTGAACTAGAACTGAACTAGAACTGAACTAGAACTGAACTAGAACTGAACTAGAACTGAACTAGAACTGAACTAGAACTGAACTAGAACTGAACTAGAACTGAACTAGAACTGAACTAGAACTGAACTAGAACTGAACTAGAACTGAACTAGAACTGAACTAGAACTAGAACTAGAACTGAACTAGAACTGAACTAGAACTGAACTAAAACTGAACTAGAACTGAACTAGAACTGAACTAGAACTGAACTAGAACTGAACTAGAACTGAACTAGAACTGAACTAGAACTGAACTAGAACTGAACTAGAACTGAACTAGAACTGAACTAGAACTGAACTAGAACTGAACTAAAACTGAACTAGAACGGAACTAGATCTTGACTAGAATTGAAGTAGAACTAGAACTGAACTACAACTGAACGACAACTTAACTAGAACTGAACTAGAACTGAACTAGAACTGCACTAGAATTGAACTAGAACTGAACTAGAACTGAACTAGAACTGGACTAGAACTGGACTAGAACTGAACTAGAACTGAACTAGAACTGAACTAGAACTGGACTAGAACTGAACTAGAACTGAACTAAAACTGAACTAGAACCGAAGTAGAACGGAACTAGATCTTGACTAGAATTGAAGTAGAACTGAACTAGAACGGAACTAGATCTTGACTAGAATTGAAGTAGAACTGAACTAGAACAGAACTAGAACTGAACTAGAACTGAACTAGAACTGAACTAGAACTGAACTAGAACTGAACTAGAACTGAACTAGAACTGAACTAGAACTGAACTAGAAAATGAACTAGAACTGAACTAGAACTGAACTAGAACTGAACTAGAACTGAACTAGAACTGAACTAGAACTGAACTAGAAACTGAACTAGAAATGAACTAAACTGAACTAGAACTGAACTAATGAACTAGAACTGAACTAGAACTGAACTAGAACTGAACTGACTAGAACTGACTAGAACTGAACTAGAACTGAACTAGAACTGAACTAGAACTGAACTAGAATTGAACTAGAATTGAACTAGAACTGAACTAGAACTGAACTAGAACTGAACTAGAACTAGAACTGAACTAGAACTGAACTAGAACTTAACTAGAACTGAACTAGAACTAGAACTGAACTAGAACTGAACTAGAATTAACTAGAACTAAACTAGAATTAAACTAAAACTGAACTAGAACTGCACTAGATCTTGACTAGAATTGAAGTAGAACTGAACTGAAGTAGAACAGAACTAGAACTCAACTAGAACTGAACTAGAATTGATCTAGAACTAAGCTAGAACTGATCTAGAACTAAGCTAGAACTGATCTAGAACTGAAGTAGAGAAAAACTAGATTTGTACTAGAGGTAAAATAGAACTGAACTTTGCTGAAATTTTATTTTGAATGCATTTTAATGTTTAATACCAAAACATGGATAACTCATGTATGTAATTCAACCATCATGCAAACATTTAGCTCAAGCAAGTATTTATGGTGAAATATTTAACACCAAATACTAAGAAAAGATAAAAACAAAATAAACATATATTTAAATACATTAACATTTAAAAGTACTTCTAGAAACCAAAATAAAACCGGCTTGCAAACTTAAAGCGAAATATCTTTAAAATTCCCCAAAAAAAATCTGCAGATTTAATAAAAAAAAATCAAACAAAAATTTGTTTAGTAAATAAACGTGTATATAAATTATTATGCAATAAAAATTAACATTTAAATGTTACCAATTGTTTTTGTTTAACCAACTTTGTATACAAAACAAAACAACAACAATAAATAACTAAAAAATATATAAATAACATAAAATCTCAATAAAAAATACAATAAAATAAAGATGCTAAATGACCTTGAAGTAGAAATAAAATATTTATACAAAAAAACGCTTGAAAACGAGATAAAGAAGACACAGAAAGCGAAAAAAAAATAAATAAAAAAGTACACAAATACCAAACAAGTTTGTTGCTTGAATCTTTTGTTTGCATTAGAATATAGAAAATGAAATGAAATTAATGCAGCAACGTCTGTTACTAAACAATTGCAAATAAAATTTTATTTATTAAACAAATTTAAGTTTATTTTTGTTGTTTTTATTGTTTTGATAAAAGTTGAATTTTTTCAAGTGAACTTTTGTCATTTTATCATTTAAATCTTAAGATATTTATGCGTTTTCAGGCGTTTGTTTTTATTCTTAAAGGTCAATTTTGACATAATTAAATAATTTATTGAATATCATTAGTCAAAGAAGATTTATTTGGACGAACAGTTTTATGTTGCAATGATATATAGAAATCCAGCAGGTTTTTTTTCAAATGCTTATTTTGAAATTTTTGTTTTAATGATTCTTAAACTTTAACATCTTAAATCAAATTAGAAACTATTAAACGATTACTCAACAGGGTTAAATATTTAGCAACACTAATTGCTTGACAGCTTTACAATTGACACCTTCATATAAATAAATGAATAAAATTTTACAGATAATTTATTTAAATTGTAAAACTTAGTAATTAATTATTTTGTAATTGAGCTGTTTTTAACAAGTTTATTACTATTTCCACATACGTAAGAAAAACAATTCAGCGGTTGATCATCTAATTCACAGGGCCTGTAGACTATTGTCTGTGCAACATTGATCTATTGTTTTATTTTACACATTTGGTATTGAAATTTAAACAGAGGTCAAAGCTACTGAAATGTTCAATTCAAAAGTGATGTTCAACCTAAAATTTTCTATAATAGGTGAAATTAAACGAACTAGAACTGAACTAGAACAGAACTGGAACTGAACTAGAACTGAACTAGAACTGAACTAGAACTGAACTAGAACTGAACTAGAACTGAACTAGAACTGAACTAGAACTGAATTAGAACTGAACTAGAACTGAACTAGAACTGAACTAGAACTGATCTAGAACTGAACTAGAACTGAACTAGAACTAGACTAGAACTAGAACTAGACTGAACTAGAACTGAACTAGAACTGAACTAGAACTGAACTAGAACTGAACTAGAACTGAACTAGAACTGAACTAGAACTGAACTAGAACTGAACTAGAACTGAACTAGAACTGAACTAGAACTGAACTAGAACTGAACTAGAACTGAACTAGAACTGAATTAGAACTGAACTAGAACTGAACTAGGGCTGAACTAGAACTGAACTACAACAGAACTAGAAACTGAATTAGAACTGAACTAGAACTGAACTAGAACTAAACTAGAACTGAACTAGAACTGAACTAGAACTGAACTAAACTAGAACAGAACTAGAACAGAACTAGAACTGAACTAGACTGAACTAGAACTGAACTAGAACTAAACTAGAACAGACCTAGAACAGAACTAGAACTGAACTAGAACTGAACTAGAACTGAACTAGAACTGAACTAGAACTGAACTAGAACTGAACTAAAACTGAACTAGAACTGAACTGGAACTGAACTACTAGAACTGAACTAGAACTGAACTAGAACTGAACTAGAACTGACAGAACTGAACTAGAACTGAACTAGAATTGAACTAGAACTGAACTAGAATTGAATTAGAACTGAACTATAAACTGAACTAGAACTAAACTAGAACTGAACTAGAACTGAACTAGAACTGAACTAGAACTGAACTAGAACTGAACTAGAACTGAACTAGAACTGAACTAGAACTGAACTAGAACTGAACTAGAACTGAACTAGAACTGAACTAGAACTGAACTAGAACTGAACTAGAACTGAACTAGAACTGAACTAGAACTGAACTAGAACTTAACTAGAACTGAACTAGAACTGAACTAGAACTGAACTAGAACTGAACTAGGACTGAACTAGAACTGAACTACAACAGAACTAGAACTGAATTAGAACTGAACTAGAACTGAACTAGAACTGAACTAGAACTGAACTAGAACTGAACTAGAACTAGAACTGAACTAGAACTAGAACTGAACTAGAACTGAAATAGACTGAACTAGAACTGAACTAGAACTGAACTAGAACTGAACTAGAACTGAACTAGAACTGAACTAGAACTGAACTAGAACTGAACTAGAACTGAACTAGAACTGAACTAGAACTAAACTAGAACAGAACTAGAACAGAACTAGAACTGAACTAGAACTGAACTAGAACTGAACTAGAACTGAACTAGAACTGAACTAGAACTGAACTAGAACTGAACTAGAACTGAATTAGAATTGAAAAGAAATAGAAAAATTCATTAAAAAAGAGAAATTTGTTAAAAAAGTCTTTTAAAAAATTAATATTTAACAAAAATTTTCTATAAAAGTAAATTTAACGCAAAATTTTTATAAATTTAAAACTTTTTTTAAATTTTTTTTATCGGAAAATTTTCCTTCCTAGGAAGAAATTTAAAAATTTGCTTTTTTAAAGAAATTTTTTAGAAAATTTCACTTTTTATAGAAAATTTTTAATTTTTTTTTTTAAATTTCCAAAGAACATTTTTAAAAGTTTCCCCTTCTAAAAAAAAAAAAAAAAACTTTAAAAAACAATTTAACAAATTTTACTTTTCATAAAAAAATTTTGAAATATTTAATTTTTATAAAAGATTTGAAAAAAAAAATTTGAGTCTTTTTTTAAAAATTTGTCTTTTTTTAAAGAAGGAGGTCATTTTTTAAATTTTCACTTATTTATTGAAAAAAAAAAAAAAAAAAAAAAAAAAAAAAAAAAACATTTCCCTTTAATAATACGCAACTTTTATCCAGGGCCTTTAAAATAAGAGGCAATCTTATATGTTTTAAATAAGTTGTATAAAATTTCACTTTCAATCTCCGGAAATTTGTTCTTAAAATGTTTTATTTGTTCCCAAAACTGTTAAACATTTTTTACAATTGTCTTTTGTTTCTTAACTTTATAGACTTTTAATTTATTTTAATTTTAAGTTCTTAATAGCAATATACTAACCCATTGAGCCAAACATGGCTAAACACACAACAGCTTTAATAATAATTTTGACATTTTTGAAAGTTTTTCTTAACACTTGTTAATATATCTTAAGAGTTATTTTGTAAAAAAAAATAACTTCAATTAAAAATCCTTAAACGTCCTTTTTGCGCTTTATTAAAATAGCGCTTCGAAAAAATAGACGTTGTTTCTTAGACGACTTTAAGTATAAAACTGATGCTCAAAAATAAACGCCCGCTATAAGAGGGGCACAAAATTATTAAACACCAGTGTATGATTCAAAAAAACGTTAAGAAGAAGATGATTTGTTAACTACACACAGGTTTTGTAGACAATTTTTTTGTTTTTCGAAATAATTAAGTAGAAGCTTAAGTGAATGCGTAACTAAACATGTTTTTTCTTTGAGATATTTTATAGAAATATTGACGTTATTTAGTTCTTTAATTCAAATGAATTTTTTTTAAGGTGTTAATGTAAAACTAAATTTGTTTTAATATAAAACTAGTTTTGTCATTTAACATAAAATTTTGTAAATTT